ATCAAAATTTTTAATCGTTAAATTTTAATGTATTGACCCAAAATTTTCCTTAAAGGGAAAAATAAAGACATGAATTTGATCAAGTTTCTCCATAATTCATCCCTGTTAAGTTACAGTTCAAGTCCTCGGTACACGTTGACAAGTGAACCCAACGAAGAGTTTGGTCTTCATCTTTACTAAACATAATCAGATTCGTTTTCTGGGTATTATAAGTTATAAAAACAATACCTTTAAGGAGAATGTTGTAGGTTGTCTTTCATATAACAGTAGGTTTTACAGACCTAGAACCACCCCAGTTTATTTTACCTAAAGCTTAACCTTACCACATTAACAGTATTTTAAGGGACAGGGGTTGGGTTAAATAAGCTGAGGTGGATACTTTAAAGGTTATCTGTATGTAGGAATAGTTAATATGTAATGGATAACGGGTAAATGATGCAGGATATATTATGAAATGTGATTCGTACTCTTGTAATGCTCTTTCAAATTCGAAGGTAATGGGGACTCTTGATCGTCAATAGCAGATATGAAAACACAATCAGTGAAATAATAGTAAATAAAGATGATGCTAAAAGAGACATATAGACGTAATGTTCACTTGAGAATGACAGACGGTGACAGTAGAACCACCTTCAGACTATTTTGATGATGGTGACTGTTAAAATTGTTACCTGCTTATTGACCGTGGTTGAAAGGCACAATAATTACACAATAGAGTTAAGGTATATGAACTAGTGAAGCCAAAGATCTTAGCAAGATTTATAAAGGGGATCGATCAATATCACAATGAGCACTTCGGCTTCTGTTGTGTGATATTGTCTTAGACCAAACAGTAAAGATTGTAAATCAATGCTCTACCTCCCTTGGGTACAGTTATAATGTTGGTAACTGTGTGTGAGTGGCTACGTCGACTTGTCTTTCAGTTATTTGCCACCATATGTAGTTAGATAACCAGTTAGGTAGATGAGAGGTATTCGGGAAATTGTCACACGTTCACAGTGAGCATGTAGGGAACAATGTTACGGAGACAGTACACGTATATAAATAATGTACATCGACAATGAAAGGATATAAATGATATACAATGACTGCCGGTATATAATGTACAATCAAAGTCATGTCGCGGTTTTGTTCGAAGATTAAATATAACTCGTGAAACATTATGAGAGCCCCCTAGCGCACGTTTAGCTCATCGGCATACGTTTTCACCAAATTTCACGGCATGACTTTTTCAGTGTGTTCCCGCCACAGCAGGATGAACTTGAGAGTTTACAATGAACTTTGCGAATGAGAAACAGATGACGCCCTTACATGGACAGTGTAAGTATATAAAGAATGTACATAGATAGTGAGGTATATAAACAATGGTGATTAATAGATAAAAAATGAATTAAGGAACCCCGAAGCTTGAAGATTTGCCTTCACGAATATAATTCTTATTCCTTGTTAGTGAGGCTAAATACTCGAATATCGTCATTTAGTATTGAGGACAGCGATCTTTGTGGCCTCTCATAATGCACAGCGACCCCGCTGGTCAGTTTAGCTAAGTCTCCCCTATTGATCCGCGAGGTTTTCCTTGGACGCGTTCTCGACCACCCACTTCTAAGCATATATTTTTTAATGATTCCGGGATCGATATAACATTAGGGTAGAAGTCGTAAAGATCATTGATTGTTTTACGTCCCGGGATCCCGTAGTCCACCCAGGTACACATATGACTCCCAGAGCCATATGTGTACTAATGATCACAGCCAGATGTAGGGTGACGCCCACTTACACACATACTGTACACACACACCTGTGAAGAGTGTGCTAGGACGGGGGAGTATATGGTTTTATTATGCTGTGTGACTCAGACAAACATACGACTGGGGAACGCACATTATCGTCTCTACACCCCCCACCACACACCCCCCCACACACCCCACCACACACCCCCACCACACACCCCCCACCACACACCACCCCACCACCACACACACCCCCACCACACACACCCCCACCACCACACCCCACACCACACCCCCCACCACACACCACCTCACCCACCACACCACCACCACCACACCACCCCCACCACACCCCCACCACCACACACCACCACCACACACACCCCCCACCACCACACACACCCCCCACCACCACTCCCCACCACCACACCACACCCCCAACACCACACCCCCACACACACACCCCCCCCACACCACACCCCCACACACCACACACCCCACACACACACACACCACACACCACACACCCACACCCCCACACACCCCACACCACACACACCCCCCACACCACACACACCCCCACACCACACACACCCCCACACCACACACCCACCACACCCCCACCCAACACACCCCCACACACACACCCCACCACACACCCCCCCACCACATTCCCCCACCACACACCCCCCACCACCACACCCCCCACCACACCCTCCCCACCCCCCACCCCCCACCACACCCTCCCCACCACACCCCTCCCCACCACACCCCTCCCCACACCCTTCCCACCACACCCCCCCACCACCCACACCCCTCCCCCCACACCCTCCCCACCACACACCCCCCACCACACCCCCCACCACACTCCACCACACCCCCCCACCACACCCCCCCCACCCCCCACACCACCCCCCACCCCACCCCCCACACCCACCCCCCCCACACACCCACCCCCCACACCCCCCCCACACCCCACCACACACCACACACACACCCCACACCTCACCTGCGGTGTTCCCCAGGGACCAATGATGGACCACTGTGCTTCCTCATCCTGATCAACGACGCTCTATCGGAAACTCCTCACAGGTGGAAGTACGTGGATGACGGCACTGTGGGTTACAGTGACAACACCGCACCAGACTACTATCGCTCCAAGGCACCCTGGACAGGCTACAGGCATGGACCACGGAGAACAAGGTCACCATCAACCACACCAAAACCGTAGTCATGCACATCAATACTGCCACCACTCCAGTGCAAGCCCCAGCAGTCACAGTGTGCCCATCTCTCCAGCTGGTGCAGTCTGCCAAACTCCTGAGGTAACCATAGACAACAAACTTGACTGGAGGCCCAAGTAAATAACACAGTCAAGGCAGCTCATATCGTCTCTACAGTACATGCTACGACGACTTAGGTCACTGGGACACCCACGCCAGAGCTGAGGACCATCTACAATGTTTATTCTCCCCAAACTAACGTATGCGTCACCAGCCTGGTCGTCTTCTCAACTCCACCCAACAACGTCAGCTAGAGAAGGTACAGAAAAGGCCTGCAGAATCATGCTAGACGCAGAATACCCGGCTACACCAACGCTCTCCACCCTGGAAATGCCATCCCTCAGTGACTTCCACCACCAAGCACTGGAAAGGTTTGGAGTGGACTACGCACCACCTCGTCATCGCCACCTGCCACCCCCCACCCAACTCCGCGCAGTCCGCCACTACAACAAAATTCAGCCCATAAGAGCCCGCGCCGATAGATATAAGAACAGCACCATCCCATCTATTGTTAAAATAATAAACAACTCCTGATTTATGTACTGTACAGCCCTGTAAATGTATTCAATGCATATTATATCATTATGTCTAAATCAAATGTAAATCTGTATATTTTCAGCCACCGGCTGCAACTCTATTAATAAACCGTTTATCATTATTATTATTATTTATTATTACACACTGACACACACACCCACCCACCCACCCACACACACACCCACACACACACCCCACACACACCCCACACACACACACACACACACATACATACATACATATATACATACAGTACACACACACACACACATACAGTACACACACACACACACACACAGACACACACACACATACAGTACACACACAACACACACACACACACACACACACACACACACTTAGACACACCCACTCCCCCACACACACATCACCCTCACACACCCACCCTACACCCTTCACACACCCACCCTACACCCCACACACACACCCACCCCTACACCCTCACACACCCACCCTACACCCCCTCACACACCCCCCTACACCCCCACACACGCGGTCGATAAGTCTAACAAAACTATGTCCTCACTATCCTCTACGATGGCCTGACGGACATGAATTTATAAATACACGTGAGTCACCCTGCTCCTATTGTGAGGGGAGGAATTATCCCCCTCTCCGTCATAATGTGAGGAGGAGGAATTATCACTCCCCTCATGTAATGGGAGGAATTACCCTCCCCTGTCATTCATAATGTAATGGGAGGAATTCATCTCTCCTGTCATAACGTGAGGGGAGGAATTATCACCCCCTCTGTCATAATGTGAGGAGGAATTATCACCCCCCTCTGTCATAACGTGAGGGGAGGAATTATCACCCCCCTCTCATAATGTGAGGAGGAATTATCACCTCTGTCATAACGAGATTATCACCCCCTCTGTCATAACGTGAGGGAGGAATTCACCCCCTCTCATAATGTGAGGAGGAATTATCACCCCCCTGTCATAACGTGAGGAGGAATTATCACCCCTCTGTCATAACGTGAGGAGGAATTATCACCCCCCTCATTATATGGGGGGAGGAATTATCACACCCCCCCTTCAACGCCATTAGCCACCCCAACCCTTAACAACATGAAATTTATTCTCAAGTATTAACGCCAACAAGACGATTCGATCCCCACCCACCCCCCCAAAAACCCACAACAAAAGATTCATTCATTTCTTTGTGTTATTTACGGGTTTAACTTTTATTTGTCTCATCCGTGTAAATAAGTTATCGGAATCCATCTTCGTCGGGAGAAGTTGAACGTCTCATTATCTGCGTAGGAGCTTCCAGGTCTGTTGATTGACGGGGTTGAAAGACACGCCACACAGTCATACCAACACCCAACACCCCACATGAAAGATGCAGATGTTTTTTAGACACGTCAACCAATCATCGACATGTGGTGCTAGAGTCCCTGTATGTGCCACTGGCTGATTGGTCTACGCTTGAAAGTGGGTGGGGTTAGAGCACCTGACACCAGGAACGGCAGGTCGCTTCAGTAGTCAGTTTACCTTGACAAGCGGGTCAACATCGCTCACACACCACAAACACAAACACACACACACACAGGCACGAACAAATACAGACACTCAATAAAACACGCCTCGTTCCGTGATAACATTAATATTATTCCTCTATCGAGAGTAAAGGATTATTTTAACGAGGTAATCCAAGAACGTGAGTGGATCCCTGACATGTGAGTTGGATACCCGGTATTTACTGTCCCTGGCTACAGTTATAAAGTTACCTATGCACATGACAACAAACTATGCTGTACAAGTTAACTATGGTCTGTGTGTGTGTTGCGTATCACTTAATATTGATGTGTTTTTCATAGTAATGTGATACTTTCGTTAGTATCTGGTACTGTGTTAGTATCTGGTACTGTGTTAGTGTCTGGTACTGTGTTAGTGTTGGTATTTAGGTACTGTATTGATGTTGATGGCTGGTACTGTGTTGAGTGTCTGGTACTGTGTTGAGTGTCTGGTGCTGTGTTGAGTGTCTGGTGCTGTGTTGGTGTCTAGTGCTGTGTTGGTGTCTAGTGCTGTGTTGGTGTCTATTTTGTGTTGGTGTCTAGTGCTGTGTTGAGTGTCTAATGCTGTGTTGAGTGTCGTGCTGTGGTAGTGTTGATGACTGGTGCATGTTGGTGTCTGGTACTGTGTTGAGTGTCTGAGTGCTGTGTTGAGTGTCTGGTACTGTGTTGAATTAATCTGGAAGTGCTGTGTTGAGTGTCTGGTGCTGTGTTGGTGTTGAGTGTCTGGTGCTGTGTTGGTGTTGGTGTCTGGTACTGGCCAGTGTCTGGTACTGTGTTGTGTCTGGTACACCAGTGTTGGTGTCTGCAGTGCTGTGGTGGTGTCTGATGCTGTGTTGAGTGTCTGGTGCTGTGTTGAGGTGTCTGGTGCTGTGTTGGTGTCTGGTACTGTGTTGGTGTCTGGTGCTGTGTTGGTGTCTGGTGCCTGTGTTGGTGTCTGGTGCTGGCCCCAGGTGTCTAGTGCTGTGTTGGTGTCTGAACTGTGTTGAGTGTCTGTGCTGTGTTGAGTGTCTGGTGCTGTGTTGGTGTCTAGTGCTGTGTTGAGTGTCTGGTGCTGTGTTGGTGTCTGGTGCTGTGTTGGTGTCTGGTGCTGTGTTAGGGTGTCTGGTGCTTGTGTTGAGTAGTGCTGTGTTGGTGTCTAGTGCTGTGTTGGTGTCACCAGTGCACCATGTTGAGTGTCTGATGCTGTGTTGGTGTCTGAATGCAGTGTTGGTGTCTAGTGCTGTGTTAGTGTCCTAGTACCATGTGGTATCTGGTGCTGTGTTGTTGGTGTCTAGTGCTGTGTTTGATGTCTGAAGTGGTATGTTGGTGTCTGGTGCTGTGGTGTCTGGTGCTGTGTTGGTGTTGGTGGCTGGTGCTGTGTTGGTGTCTGGTGCTGTGTTGGTGTCCTGGTCTGTGTGCAGGTGTCGTCTAGTACTGTGTTGGTGTCTGGTGCTGTGTTGAGTGTCTGAGTGCTGTGTTGGTGACTGGTGTGTTGAGTGTCTGGTACTGTGTTGGTGTCTGGTGCTGTGTTGGTGTCTAGTGCTGTGTTGAGTGTCTGGTGCTGTGTTGGTGTCTGGTGCTGTGTTGAGTGTCTGGTGCTGTGTTGGTGTCCAGTGCTGTGTTGAGTGTCTAGTGCTGTGTTGGTGTCTGGTGCTGTGTTGGTGTCTAGTGCTGTGTTGGTGTCTGGTACTGTGTTAGTGTCTGGTGCTGTGTTGGTGTCTGGTACTGTATTGGTGTTGAGTGTCCTAGTGCTGTGTTAGTGTCTGGTACTGTGTTAGTGTCTAGTACTGTGTTAGTGTCTAGTGCTGTGGTGTTAGTGTCTGGTGCTGTGTTGAGTGTCTGGTGCTGTGTTGGTGTCTGGTACTGTGTTGGTTTAGTTGGTGTCTGGTGCTGTGTTGGTGTCTAGTGCTGTGTTGGTGTCTGGTGCTGTGTTAGTGTCTGGTACTGTGTTGGTGTGTGTCTGGTACTGTGTTGGTGTGTACTGTGTTGGTGTCTCTGTGTGTGTCTTGCTGTTGTGTCTGGTGCTGTGTGTTGTGAGTGTCTGGTACTGTGTTGGTGTCGGTCTGTATTAGTGTTAGTGTCTGAGTACTGTGTTGAGTGTCTGGTACTGTGTTGAGTGTCTGGTGCTGTGTTGGTGTCTAGTGCTGTGTTAGTGTCTGGTACTGGTGTTGGTGTCTAGTACTGTGTTGGTGTCTGGTACTGTGTTGGTGTCTGGTGCTGTGTTAGTGTCTGGTACTGTGTTGTGTTAGTGTCTGGTACTGTGTTGGTGTCTAGTGCTGTGTTGAGTGTCTGAGTGCTGTGTTGAGTGTCTAGTGCGTGTTGGTGTCGTACTGTGTTGGTGTCTGGTGCTGTGTTGGTGTCTGGTGCTGTGTTAGTGTGGTGCTGTGTTGGTGTCTAGTGCTGTGTTGGTGTCTAGTACTGTGTTGGTGTCTGGTACTGTGTTGAGTGTCTGGTGCTGTGTTGTGTCTAGTACTGTGTTGGTGTCTGGTGCTGTGTTGGTGTCAGGTGCTGTGTCTAGTGCTGTGTTGGTGTCTGGTACTGTGTTGGTGTCTGGTGCTGTGTTGGTGTCTGGTACTGTGTTGGTGTCTGGTACTGTGTTGGTGTCTTAGTGCTGTGTTGGTGTCTGGTGCTGTGTTAGTGTCTAGTGCTGTGTTGGTGTCTGGTGCTGTGTTGGTGTCTAGTGCTGTGTTAGTGTTAGTGTCTGGTGCTGTGTTGAGTGTCTGGTGCTGTGTTGGTGTCTGGTGCTGTGTTGGTGTCTGGTGCTGTGTTGGAGTGTCTAGTACTGTGTTAGTGTCTAGTGCTGTGTTAGTGTCTGGTGCTGTGTTGGTGTCTGGTGCTGTGTTGGTGTCTGGTGCTGTGTTGGTGTCTGGTACTGTGTTGGTGTCTGGTGCTGTGTTGGTGTCTGGTGCTGTGTTGGTGTCTGGTGCTGTGTTGAGTGTCTGAGTGCTGTGTTGAGTGTCTAGTGCTGTGTTGGTGTCTGGTGCTGTGTTGGTGTCTGGTGCTGTGTTGGTGTCTAGTATGCTGTGTTGGTGTCTAGTGCTGTGTTAGTGTCTAGTGCTGTGTTGAGTGTCTAGTGCTGTGTTGGTGTCTAGTGCTGTTGGTGTCTGGTACTGTGTTAGTGTCTGGTACTGTGTTGAGTGTCTGGTACTGTGTTGGTGTCTGGTACTGTGTTAGTGTCTAGTGCTGTGTTGGTGTCTGGTGCTGTGTTGAGTGTCTGGTGCTGTGTTGGTGTCTGGTGCTGTGTTAGTGTCTGGTGCTGTGTTGGTGTCTGGTGCTGTGTTGGTGTCTGGTGCTGTGTTGGTGTCTGGTGCTGTGTTGGTGTCTAGTGCTGTGTTGTGTGGTACTGTGTTGGTGTCTAGTGCTGTGTTGAGTGTCTAGTACTGTGTTGGTGTCTGGTGCTGTGTTGGTGTCTAGTGCTGTGTTGAGTGTCTGGTACTGTGTTGGTGTCTAGTACTGTGTTAGTGTCTGGTGCTGTGTTGAGTGTCTGGTGCTGTGTTAGTGTCTGGTACTGTGTTGGTGTCTAGTGCTGTGTTGAGTGTCTGGTGCTGTGTTGGTGTCTAGTGCTGTGTTGGTGTCTGGTGCTGTGTTGGTGTCTGTGCTGTGTTGGTGTCTGGTGCTGTGTTGGTGTCTGGTGCTGTGTTGGTGTCTGGTGCTGTGTTGGTGTCTGGTGCTGTGTTGGTGTCTGGTGCTGTGTTGGTGTCTGGTGCTGTGTTGGTGTGTGCTGTGTTGGTGTGGTGCTGTGTTGGTGTCTAGTGCTGTGTTGGTGTCTGGTGCTGTGTTGGTGTCTGAGTGCTGTGTTAGTGTCTAGTACTGTGTTGGTGTCTGGTACTGTGTTGAGTGTCTGGTGCTGTGTTGGTGTCTAGTGCTGTGTTGAGTGTCTGGTGCTGTGTTGAGTGTCTGAGTGCTGTGTTGGTGTCTGAGTACTGTGTTGAGTGTCTAGTACTGTGTTAGTGTCTGGTGCTGTGTTGGTGTCTAGTACTGTGTTGTGTCTGGTGCTGTTGGTGTCTAGTACTGTGTGTCAGTACTGTGTTAGTGTCTAGTGCTGTGTTAGTGTCTGGTACTGTGTTGGTGTCTGGTGCTGTGTTGGTGTCTGGTGCTGTGTTGAGTGTCTGAGTACTGTGTTGGTGTCTGGTACTGTGTTGAGTGTCTGGTACTGTGTTAGTGTCTGGTAATAAATATAATATAATAATATTAGGTTTATTGAAGAGCTTGGCAGCCAGAAGGCTGAAATATACAGTTACATATTTGGGGAATGGGTTACATTACAAATAATATACAAGTGACATAAGTGACACAAATAAGACATATAATAACTAGATGGGATCAGCTCAAACTACAGTTCATTTCAACATAGTGACAGCGTGGAGCAGTGTTTACTGGGAGTGAATACACTGGTTTATTACATGTTATTGATAATTGTGTTGAGTGTCTAGTACTGTGTTAGTGTCTAGTGCTGTGTTGAGTGTCTGGTACTGTGTTGAGTGTCTAGTACTGTGTTGGTGTCTGGTACTGTGTTAGTGTCTAGTGCTGTGTTGGTGTCTGGTACTGTGTTGGTGTCTGGTACTGTGTTGGTGTCTGGTGCTGTGTTGGTGTCTAGTACTGTGTTAGTGTCTGGTACTGTGTTAGTGTCTGGTACTGTGTTGGTGTCTAGTGACTGTGTTGAGTGTCTGGTGCTGTGTTAGTGTCTGGTACTGTGTTGGTGTCTGGTGCTGTGTTGAGTGTCTGGTGCTGTGTTGAGTGTTGGTGTCTGTTGCTGTGTTGGTGTCTGGTGCTGTGTTGGTGTCTGGTACTGTGTTGGTGTCTGGTGCTGTGTTGGTGTCTGGTACTGTGTTAGTGTCTGGTACTGTGTTGAGTGTCTGGTACTGTGTTGGTGTCTGGTGCTGTGTGAGTGTCTGGTACTGTGTTGAGTGTCTGGTACTGTGTTGAGTGTCTGGTGCTGTGTTAGTGTCTGGTACTGTGTTGAGTGTCTGGTACTGTGTTGGTGTCTGGGTGCTGTGTTAGTGTCTGGTACTGTGTTAGTGTCTGGTACTGTGTTAGTGTCTAGTACTGTGTTGAGTGTCTAGTACTGTGTTAGTGTCTGGTACTGTGTTGAGTGTCTAGTACTGTGTTGGTGTCTGGTACTGTGTTGAGTGTCTGGTACTGTGTTGGTGTCTGGGCTGTGTTAGTGTCTGGTACTGTGTTAGTGTCTGGTACTGTGTTAGTGTCTGGTACTGTGTGTGTTAGTGTCTGGTACTGTGTTAGTGTCTAGTACTGTGTTAGTGTCTGGTACTGTGTTAGTGTCTAGTACTGTGTTAGTGTCTGGTACTGGGTTGTGTCTGGTACTGTGTTAGTGTCTGGTACTGTGTTAGTGTCTAGTACTGTGTTAGTGTCTAGTACTGTGTTAGTGTCTGGTACTGTATTAGTGTTAGTGACATACTGTGTTAATGTTAGTGACTGGTACTGTGTTAGTGTTAGTGACTGGTTGTAAAGGCCTGGGACTTTGGGATAGAAATCCCTTACCAGACTAATCAGGATCTTAATAAAGGAAAGTCAAGGACCATGGTTTTCTGATGAATTGCAAGCAACCGTTTGAGATTGACATCTCTTTACTATAAAAAATATAACACAAAACTCTGACACCACTCAACAAACATCAAATAATTACGGGAGTCAAACAATGCAGTCAATAGTTAATGGAGTTAATCAATTAAGGGAAGCAAACAATTAATGGGAGTCAGCAATTAATAGAATCAAACAATTAATGGGAGTCAACAACTGAAAGAATCAAACAATGAACAGATATTTCCTATGGCAGTGGCCCTGGGGGAAGGTTCTGGAACAGGGTGATGCACACTCAGGGTAGGGAAGCGCCCATTCAACTCCACCCTAGAGCGACGGGGCACGGACGGAATGAGATGAACTGACGGTCGTGTTATGGTAGTGGTAGATGACCAGAGAATTGACAGTCGATAGGTGAAGGTCTGGGGACACAGCCCACGAGTCCAGGACCTATGATGAGATCACAGCCAGAATTTGACGAACAGCGGGGTAGCTAGATAGCGACTATGGCGGCTGGGTTGAATCTGCCGGTGACCCAGATAGTCGCTGCCGTTCTCACATCTGTCCAACCGCCCCAAGTGTCGTCCGCACCAGCAAACGAGCGAGTTAGCAGCGGTAACCAGCAGGAAGATCGTTTCCGCCCTTACACTGGTACTGTGTTAGTGTTAGTGTCTGGTTCTGTATTAGTGTTAGTGACTGGTACTGTATTAGTGTTGGTGACGTACTGTGTTAATGTCAGTGACTGGTACTGTGTTAGTGTTTGGTACTGTGTTAGTGTCTGGTACTGTTTTAGTGTCTGGTACTGTGTTAGTGTTAGTGACGTACTGTGTTAATGTCAGTGACTGGTACTGTGTTAGTGTCTGGTACTGTGTTAGTGACTGGTACTGTGTTAGTGTTAGTGACGTACTGTGTTAATGTCAGTGACTGGTACTGTGTTAGTGTTTGGTACTGTGTTAGTGTCTGGTACTGTGTTAGTGTCTTGGTTTCAAAATATAGAGAATTTAAAGTATTATTATTTTTCCTACTTTTGAAATTATTTCCAATGTGCAAAGGTGTTCAGCTGACAATTCAAACCTGAAAAATATGAAGTATGTATGTGTGTGTGTGTGTCAATGACATGTGTTCTAAATCTTCTTTCCTTCCAGGGACTATCCCGACTGGCAGGCTCCTGATGCATCAAACTGTACCGTTCCCTGACAGCTTGAGTCTTGAAGGAAACCAAAGCTCCCAGAACTCCAACTTCCAGCTTTTCCGGAACAATCAGCAGGGGTTCCAGGACCAGCAGCAGGGCTCCTGGTCATTCCAGAATCAACAACAGAGCCCCGGGTGGTTCCAGAAATGGCATCAGGGCCCCCAGAGGTTCCAGAACCAGCAGCAGGGCCCCCAGCTGTTGCAAGAACAGCAAAAACCGTGGTTCTTCCGACAACCATTCCAACCAAATTCACAACAGAACCAACAAAACCATTTTCCAAACCAGTATTACAACACAGATTCTGTCTCCTTCAACAACTCCTGGCTGAATTGTCGATCATTTAGCAATGGCTGCTCATTGCCTTCAAGTCTGTTCTGGAATCCGACTGCCTTACAGCAGCAACAACAGAACTCAACCTCATCCCAGAACTACCAAAAAGGAAGATATCAACAACAGAAGCCACAGACAAACAACCAAAACCAAACTGGAAACAAGAGACAACAGAACTTACATTCAAACAACCTTCCTGAAGTAAAAAAACTCCAGCACCAGAACCATGGCAACACAGGCTATGAGAGAAACCGTCAACACACACCCAATGAAAGCTATATCAGCAAATCTACACTTCCACCCTCTCCTCCTTGTAAGCAGACAGAGTCACTACCTGCTGCGAAGTACATAGTAGATGTCTCAGAAGAGCATGAAACAAGAACACGAGGCAAGAACAATAAATCAGAGGGTCTGAAAGAGTTCACGTCGCCAGACAATAGTGAAGTGTTGGATGAAAAGACTTTGGAAAATTCACTTAAACATTATAGTGAGGTTTTGGAAGAGGTTAATAAAACACCAAACAGTTCGTCAAACTATAAACGTGAATCTTGTCAAGAGATGAATGAGGTGTTCAATGAAGAGTTAAATGATTCAGTTGGCAGTAAAACTAAGATCTTGATACCTAGAGTTTCACGTATAAACACGAGAGATTCTTTTATGGATTCACCCAAGGTGTCTAAAGATTCACTTAATAAATTCAGTAATGTTATAAATGGTTTTAATAAGGTGCTAAAAGGATCATTTAAGAATGGTGTATTAAGTTATTCATGTGATAATAACATTAAGAGTATTGACTTTGTTACAAAATCAAATGAAGTGCTAATGTATTCACTTGAAGAAGAGACATTAAAAGATTCACGTTTAGAGAACAATGAGAATTTACAAGATTCACTCAACAAAAAAAGTGTTATTCTAAAAGATTCAGATGATAAATTAAGCAACTCACTTAAAAGGAAATGTGAAGTATCAAAAGATTTACTCACAGGATCAAATAAAATGATAAAAAAATCATTTAACAGTGGTGGTGAAGCCTTAAAAGAACTAACTATGAATAACCGAGACTCATATAAGTATCTTACTAATACCAGCCACAACACAGAAAGATGTTCATCTGAAAACAAAATTGATGATTCGGAAGATTTATCCAGAAAGATGGATACACTGTCAGGGCAATATGACAGAGGAGTATCTAAAGATGTATCTAAACACAAAATTGAGTATTTAAAAGATTCACCAACAAGGAAAAGTAAGATACATTCCACTGAGAAAGATATTTGTAAAGATTCATGTCAAACTAAAAACAGGACATTGAGAGATACGGTGAAGAGTAAATTTGACAAACATAGATATAGAGATTCAGAGAAACATAAACATTCAGTGCACAAAGATTCATCAAGACCCAAGAGTAAATTTGCTAAAGATTTGACTAAATTGAGTGGTGAGAGGTTGAAGCACTTGCCTAACACCAAACACAGCAGTGATTCTAAGGTTAAAAAGACGTGTGATAATGACCGACCTTATAGTCCATCATTTGAATGGGGGAAACTAGTACAAGATTCTCACCGAAACTCTGAACGTCATAAAGTACACAAGTCTTCACCTAGAATTAAAAGTGAGAGTAACACAGTTGGTGACTCATTGAAGAGAACAAAACTTGATCGAGTACATCGACAAGACTCAACACCACTGAAGTCTTCAAGATCTGAAAAATATGAAGAAGTAAATCAAGGTCCACCAAAGAAGTTCAAAGATCACACCTTGAGGAATTCCACATCACCAAGGAAGTGCACCTCTTCTCCAGCTGTATCTGAGACCTTCATTTGTTACATCTGCAAGGAGAAGGTGAAGGAATACCGTGCCACATCACACCTTTACTTTGGCTCCTTACAGTGTTGTGACTGTGACCACAAAATTCTCTCCTGTAAGAACTTTCGGAGGCTGAGGAGGTCTATGTATACCAACAAAGATACGACATCGTGTTCGCACAAGTTTCTGAGTTGGTTCAACGATCCATTGTCCTTCTTAAAGAACAGGATAAAGAAGGAACTCATACTAAAGACATCAAGGAGCTCAAAGGTAATGGGAACAGATATTGTCAAAGGAGTTTCTCTGTATGTTAAGTGTCTCGGCACCCTTGAATGTAGTACACCTTGGAAGTCGGCCATCAGACGAATGAGGAAATTCATAGCATCTGAGGAGACCCTGGACAGAGACCTGATTAAGGCTAATAAGGGGTGTGTTTTGAGTTTATGTAGTCAGTCACAAGTGGAGACAAAACCAGAGAGAGATAACAGATGTTCCGAAGGCAAATACAGTTCTAAATCTAAAGGTGAAGGAAGTAAAAATGACCTGCATAAAAATGATCTACAAGTTGAACTTACCCAAAGACAACCGAGTTTACTAGAAAGTTTGTTGCCTTCTGAACCTCAGACCACCAGAGATGAGAGAATACCCCAAGAAGTTGAGGAAGAAGCCATCATACCTATGACAGAGTGGGAAGTCGATGTTATTCCTTTGGTTGTACCTGAACACTTCTTTGTTGATGAGGCCAATAATGTACCTGTGGTGATGGATGAGGCTAGCGCTGTCGAAAATGTTGAGGATCCAGGAGGAGCCTCTGGATCCTTAGCATTTTTGAAGATTTCTCCAAAAAAAGTGACATCAGCAGAATTCGTTTCTGCAAAAGGGGACGAAATGGAGGAAGTTATAACTAGAGAGGTAGAACCTGTGACAGTAAAGGGTGAAGTACAGCCCATCCCTGGTCAAGAACTCCTGTCTGAGGGAGTAAGTAGTGATGAGGTTGCTGCTGGTGTTGCAAATATCTTGTCTGAAGTGGAAGGTAAAGAGGAATTCGAATGTAAGGAGACAAAAGAGGATGGGCTCGTAACTGATGAAATGGAGGAGATGAGTTTTATAACTGAGGAAGTAAGGGAGCTGGATCCTGAGATGATATCTGAAGAAGCAGCAGAATATATGGAGCACGTGGGAGAAGATGTGAGTGAAGTGGACATCGTCCCTGAAGTGGAGGACGGTGAGGATGAACCTGAAGATGAAGATGTGGACGACTTTATGGATAAAATCGAATTGGATATTACCCAAGCTGGGCTGGAAGACGTGAGTACAGAAATTAAAACTGATGGCGAACCCAAGAAGAAGTCACAGGACAGTGGTGAGGTAAATAAGTCCTGCAAGATGGAGGAGGAAAACGAAGACAATGAGTCACAGGTTGTCAAGAGATATAACCTCCGCAGCCGCCGACACAGACACACACCGTCAATGTCCTTTCTTGAGAAGCTGGACGAGTATGAGAAGAAACAGCTGTGGAAACACATCCTCCCAGCAGCCAAGGCTTTTCATGAGAACTCGATGAGAGACAAGAAGGAGTCCCTTCATCTGACCTTCAACTCAGAAGAGGCAAACGATGAGTTCATGGTGGACATCCTACTGTCGCAGACCTATGGATTGGAACAGCTGGATGAGGTCACAGAGTATATCTCTGTCGGGGACAGCAAGTCCGAGAGCATTGTGTCTCGGGTTAAGGACGCCATTGAAAATTCCCCTCTGTTCTTGAATACACCTGGCTTCATCCCCCCTACACACCTCACAAGGGCAACCTCGAGGGCACTTCTCAGATCCTATGCTAGAAGACGCATCCCAGAAAGAAACAAAAGACTACAAGAGAAAGAAGAAAGTGTCAAGACGACTCCCCCAAACACCCACCACCCCGAGCCTTTGTTGTGTGAGGATGACTTACCTCGGAGTAGACTATCTAAGGTACACATTGTTGCACCTCCTCCTGATGGCTACTATTACGTGGTCACCTACCCTCGGCAGCCATGTCCTAAAGAGTGTCCTATGTGTTATTATAGGATATTCCCGTCCATGTTCTCCCTGAATCTACTCACGAACTTGGCGACGGCCCGCTGCTTTGGGTGTCCACTGACAATCTACGTGGTACATGAGCCAGTCGACACCTCCCTGCCTAAGATAATCTTCAGCAGCAACAAAAAAAACAAAAAAGAATACAGTGTTGGTGATAGAGGAGCTTCAGAAGAAATATATAACAAACCCAAGCCAGCCAGGTACAAGAAACCCACCACTGACAAGACCAAAAGAAGGAGATTATCAATTGAACAGTTTATAAAGACATGAACATTGAATCAGTAGAAAGATCAACAAAGCACACGAACAGACATTACCGTCTTGTTTCTTGCCATGGGACACAGTTGTGAGAGTTTTGCCAGATGAACACTAGCCCATGCCGTCCTTGAAGTTAATCACTTGTACTATGGCATGAGATGTGCTCTTTCCTCTCACTGGTGCTTGTTAAGTGCAGTATACTGTTGTGATATAGCGTAAACAAACGGCATTACTCCGTTTCAAAACAGGTTCAAATGAGATTCTCAGAGGTTTTTGTTTTTGTATTAATTTCTGTCCCTTTTCTACATGTTTATAGTTATTAAGGAGCTCGACCAAAGTTATTTTATTTCTGTCCCTTTTCTACATGTTTATAGTTATTAAGGAGCTCGACCAAAGTTATTTTATTTCTGTCCCTTTTCTACAAGTTTATAGTTATTAAGGAGCTCGACCAAAGGAATTTTATTTCTGTCCTTTTTCTATGAGTTTACAGTCATAAAAAACTGAACCAAAGATAGTTTATGTTGCCCTTTTTGTGCACAAGATGTGATGTTTTTTTTTTTATTAAAATTTTAATTTGAATTTACATTACAGTGTGTTGTTTTTCTTAACCAGATACACTTTTGAGGGATCATCATACACAAGTTTCCTCTAAAATAGAAAGTTTATTTCCTGCTGATCTAACCTTAGGATTTGAATATTTTTAAATAAACTTTGTAGTAGCTATTCATTGTTTTAATCTATGAATTCAAGATGATTGAAAAATAATTATAGAATTATTTTATTTTGTAATTGTAAAATATAATTTACCTACAGTATAAGTACTGTATAAATATTTCTATACATAATTAAAATAAACCAGATAAAGCATGACGCCAAAATTCAAGGAGTTCAGTACGTGGGGTATGCTATAACGAACGGATCCTACTACGAATATTCCTATAACGAACGGTTTTACCTATAAAATTGAGAATGCTATAACGAACGAAACTCCTACAACGAACATTATTTAATTTTTTTTTTCTAATTGTTTTTTTATTACAAATATTAATGATATTCTTTATTTCAGGGGTTTAGATGCATATTCATGCACTTTTTTACAATTTTATATTATATTTTTCAGTGTTAAGTGGTTGTATTTGGGGGCCTGGAACGGATTAATCCTATAACGAACAAGGTTCTAGAACCAATTAGATTCGTTATAGCATACCCCACTGTACTTGTACTTCCAAGAAACTTGAACTTTAATACATTAATTTGTCATATAAACATTAACACAGGTGAGTACTGATAGAAATGTTATTAAACAGGTGACGAGTACAGTACGAGCAATATTTGGTTGGCCAGAAAAGTACAGAGTCAATAATAATAATATTAACATGGCTGAGCTCTCTTGTAGGCACCTGATATATACAGCTCCTCCCCGACTTACGACAGGGTTAGGGACCCAAATCCAGGTCGTAAGTCGAAAAGGCTTAAATAATACATAGAAAATCTAAAATGGGTGTCTCTTTTTCTTTTCAGCGAATTTTGACGGTGTACTGACGTTGGGACTCGAAAATACGTAATTTGACAAAATATTGGTACGACTGAGGCAGGTCGTAAGTCGGGGAGGAGCTGTACTGTACATTTAGTATCATCTGGAATAGTACAGTACACACAACATGGTGTTAGTAAGAACATATAAGAATCATACCATGGTTATAACATTACTTTTAATTTATTATTTTTTCTTTTTTGCATTCATAAGTACTGTATTCACATTTGACAGTGGAGTTGATATACATTAATATGATAAGGGTGGGAAACAATACAACACGGGTTGTATGAAGGTGAAACAAGAAGACAGAAGTTGTCGGTATTATGTCTTGTCGGTAAATATAATTACTGCAATGGGGATTTCTATCTACAGGACAATTTCTGATATACAGTAAGGTTTTGGTGGTATACTAAAGGTAGGTATTACAAAAATATTAATACTTGGACAATAGATATTTTTTAGAGATGATTTAAAGGAAGGGAGCGTAGTTTGCTCGCATGGGTGGGGGTAAGTTGTTTCACACCACACCGTGATATTTTATGGAGGTCAGGGACTGAGAGGAGCTCATGGGGGGTGGTCTTAGTAGCTCTGGGTGTCTTAAGTTTTGTATATGATTATTACATAACTAGAAATAATTATTGTCAATCAAGGAATTGACAGATTTGTAAACAAATAGGGCACATCAGTAGGTGTTAATATCCTCGAATTTTATCATTTTCAATTTAGCAAATTGTTCATTAGTGATTGGTTTTTTTTTTTCAAGTAGGTCATTGTCAGCACAATTCTATTCTGTGCAGTGATGAGGGGTTGTGTTTTTGTAGAGCCAGAGGCCCCCCCCTCCATAGTGTGTGACTGTATCAAGTGTTGGTAAACAGATCATAATCGATTTCTTTCATTGTTGTAAGAGTGAGTGACTGACCAGTGTGATACATGATACTGCACTGTTTATTGACTTTACTGTGAATGGCTTGTATGTGGTTTCTCCAGCAAAGTTTCTCATCAACAATAACTCCGAGGAATTTAGTATTTTGTTCGTGTTTGAGGACAGTATTACCAAGGTACAGGGGGTCCAAGTCTGGGGGTACCGGGTAAGTTTTTCCTTCTGTGAAAGATCGTGTAGTGGGTTTTCTCAAGGTTTAAGGTCAGTTTATTACGTATTACCCAGGTCCTGACTTTTAGTCAATTCAATGTTCATAGTTCTCATCAAGGAATGGAGGTCCGAGTTGCTGGCATAGAGATTATTATCGTCTGCAAATAAGTTGTATTTGACTAGTGTGCTGGAGTGGACTACTGTATATCATTTATGTACAACAAGAACAGTACTGGACCAAGAATGGAGCCTTGAGGGGCGCCATACTTTTAGTTCCATGTATCGATCATAGACACCTACAAACACAAAGGTGCAATATACAGTAGAAACTAACCATAACCACATACACAGAGGTAGTCCGTGCAAATGAGTATTCGGAACCTACACTTCCAGATCAATAGAGTCGTGTGTGCTTTAGGTCTTGCGTGGGTAATTAGCACAAGGAATTTATAGAAGTTGAGTTGAAGGGACAAGCACGGAAACCCCCCCCCACCCCCCACACCTTGATTGATTATATTGTGGAGGGGGGGGGGGGAGTACCTGAGTAGTTTACATATAGATGATTTAAGGGTTTCATCACTAATACCTGTTGAGTGTACCTGTTGTCATAAGTGTTTTCTCTTCACCTTGGTGGCGGGTTGAGGATCTCTCTCTCTCTCTCTCTATTTTTCCTTTCCTTCCCTCCCTCCCCCTGTCCTTCCCTCCTTCCCTCCCTCTCTCACACACTCTGTCCCCTCCCCTCCCTCCAACCGCCCCCCCCTTAAACCTGGCCACACAAGTGTTCAGGGAAGCAACACCTGGAGTTTCATTAATTACTCCATAAAGTCCCAACCTTGACACCTGAGTCATGCAGTATTTATATTTTCCCCATGTTAACGGTTATCTTAAAACATATTTAACTAGCTCACGTAAGTTACAACACAAGGACGAGTCACAGCATAGAGAGTTTGTCGACGTCATCCAGACTAAGCATGGGACTGATGTTAAACCTAACCTAACCTAAACCCACACCATTCTACTCAAAAAACCACTTAAGAGCTAATAAAAATGAAGGGAAAGAGAGGGCGGGGAAGGAGCGTCTGGTCTTGGTACACAAAGTCCAGGAGCGTCTCGGTTGCCATGACAACTAAAGGGATACGAGAAAGAAGGGCGGCAAATATCAAGTTTTTTTTTTATGGCTTCTGTTAGCGAGTTTCTGATGCTAGTTTAAATGATGTGAGAGATTTGGTGTGTGTGTGTGTGTATTTTTAGGTGTATGTTTGAGTGTATGTGTGTGTTTATTTGTTTCTCTGTGTGTATGTATAGTGTACGAACCTCTGTCCTGTATGGCAGTGAGAAGTTATACCACCCTCAGTGTCAAGATCTGACTGAATTACTCACAATAGGCAAACTGTACTACAAGCTTTGTCAGTAAATTTGTTAAACTTTAAAAAAAAAAAATGTGTAGGGCGTATGTGGTTGGTCGTGCATGCAGGTGTGTCTGAGTGAGGGTGGAAAAAAACACCTGTATTCTCAACCAATGAATCATCATATATCACGCACTTCAAACCCAACCCCTCTCACCCCCCCCCTCTCACCTCCCTCTTACCTTTCCTTTCCTTCTAAGTTAATTTTCTCCGTTATATACACAAGTCTGTTTCACATTTGATTTAACGAAGCTTCCCCTTCCCCCACCCCCCTCAAAAAAAAATATCGCAAGGTACTAAATCCGGTGATCCAATTGCCTAGAGCCAGTTACCACAGCGTTTTATTCACTGATTTATAAAACATTTATCAAGAAACATCCAGACAGTGTTAAGAATGTGATTTGAGAAGTATTTAGTGAGGAGGGGGGGGGGGCATTAGAAATTATTTAAGTCTCCCATGATAACCCGTTCTCTTACTTTAACCTTCATAGAAAACGGGACCAGACATAATAGGTGAAGGAAGTTATGGTTCTCATATTTACAGTAATCGGGATGGCTTTTTATTGGCTTAGGTGAGGTAGAAAGGTCGATTAAACTTCCTACGTGTACAAGGACCCCTCACAAGGACTCCCCATAGCTTCAGGACTTTTTTTTTTTTATTGGGTTTTTAAGTTCGATTTGCTTATGCAGTATGTCACATATGGCGGCTCCTGCTAGGTGCTGTTCCTGCTAGGTGCTGTTCCTGTTAGGTGCTGTTCCTGTTAGGTGCTGTTCCTCCTGGGTGCTGTTCCTCCTGGGTGCTGTCCCTCCTAGGTGCTGTTTCTCCTGGGTGCTGTCCCTCCAAGGTACTGTCCCTCCTGGGTGCTGTCCCTTCTAGGTGCTGTTCCTCCTGTGTGTTGTTCCTCCAAGGTACTGTTCCTCCTGGGTGCTGTCCTCCTAGGTGCTGTTCTCCTGGTGTGTCCCTCCTGGGTGCTGTTCCTCCTGGGTGCTGTTCCTCCTAGGTGCTGTTCCCCCTGGGTGCTGTACAAACAAGGGAGCACTGTCCTCACCCCTTGTCCCCAGCCCACCCTCCTCATTCGCCCTGTCTCCCTCCCTTTATTCTTTCCCATTCTCTTCCTTCTATCTCCCTTCCTTCTCCCTCCCTTCCCTCGTACTCCCTCTCTTCCCTTCTTCTACCTCCTTTCCCTTATTCTCCCTCCCTTCCCCCTTTCTCCCTCCTTCCTCTCTTATCCCCCCCTTTCTTAATTCTCCCTGCCTTCCATCCTTTTCTCTCTCTCTCTCTCTTCCTTCCTCTTCTCTGACTTTCTTCTCCTTCCCTTTCCTCCTTCTCACTTTCTTCCCTCATTCTCCCTAACCCCTTTCCTTCCCCTTTTTTATCTCTCTGTTTCTCCCCTCTTCCTTCTTTCCTCCTCCTTCCCCTTGTCACACACACACACACACACACACACACACACACACACACACACACACACACGTTACTATGATACACTTTATTATTTCTTAACATTTCACACACTTGCTACATATGATCCCGGAGCCACCTGCAGTGCGACATAT